TGGTTTGTGAATTGTGTTTCATGGTGTAGAAAGTGCAGGTGTAATATATATTCATCCCAGTGCCACATCTGTAAAGTAGTAGTAGTAGTAGTAGTAGTAGTGTCTTTGCATTATTGTATACACAGTCTTTCCAGGTTCTGTTAGGACTGTGTTCATTAAAAATACAAGACTTGAATTATTTTCAAAATTTCACTCTTTATTCAAAATAGTCTCCTTCTGAATCAATACATATCCGGAATCGATTGAAAAGTTTTCAAAACCAGTCACTCTGCTCTTTTTGTGGAATCACATTTAAAACTATGGTAGATTCCCTTTGGATGTCCTGGATGGTGACGTCACAGTCTCCTTTCATCGCCAACTTAACTTTTGGGAACAACCAGAAATCTGTTGGAGCCAAATCTGGCAAATACGGAATATGTTCAAGGACTGTGATCCCTTTTCTGACCAAAATATCATGCATGATCCTCGATTTGTGGTGTGGGGCATTGTCATGGAAGAGCGACCAGGAACCTTGCTCTCGATATTCAGGTCAAATTTGAAGAATTCTCGCCCACAAACGATTGAGGATTCCGAGATAATAGTCAGAATTTACTGTTTGACCTTCTGGCAGAAATTCCTTGTGAATGATTCCTTTGGAATTGAAGAAAACTCTTAGCATTGTCTTTACTTGACTCTTTTACATGCGCACTTTCTTTGGTTTCGGCTTCTTTGGGCTCAGCCACGCTGCACTCTGCCGCTTTGTGAGAGGCTGATATTGAAAACACCATGTCTCGTCACCAGTAACAATCGATTTTGTAAATTTTGTATCACTTTGGGCCGACTGTAACATGTCTTTGCAGTGTTCACTCTGACATGTTTTTCATCACCTGCGGTACAGACTGTGCACAGACCTTCCGTTTGCCCAAATCCTTGGTCAAAATTTGATACACAGTACTTTTTGGTATTCCCAAAAGCTCCTCGATGAGTCTTGCATAAACACATCTGTTTGATGCAAGGATTTCGGTCACTTTTTTTACATTTTCTTCAGTGCGACTTGTACTCGGCTTTGATGCACTTGGAGCGTCTTCAGTGTCCTCCCTGCTGTCATGAAATATGGCATACCATCAAAAAATGTTCGAGTGACTCAAACGATCACTACCATACACACTTTTCATCATTTCATATGCTTCTCTGGCTGTTTCGCCTAACTTAAAACAGAATTTGATGTTGGCTGTCTGTTGAAGCACCATTTTCCGACAAGCGCCAGAACAGTACTGTTACATTCAAGGTCAGAACACATGATGCAGTAATGCTTCCACTTTGAAATTGTAGACAGCCACAGCTGAAACTTTAAGAACCTTAACGTCACAACTCGCCAACAGATGACATTTCAGGGCAAAATTTAAAAAAAATGAGTCCTGACGGATCCTGGACACACCGTGTATGTCCTTATGCAGTATCATAGAGAAATTTTGAATTGTTTCATTTTGGTCCGTTACACTATCAATCACCAACTATCAATAGAACCTCCGTCGAGTGTAACAATATATATTCTTGTCACCATTTCCTCACATTTGCCTTACATGTTTCGGCTCACAAAGAGCCATCATCAGAGGCATCCACAACAAAAATATGGAAACACTTGCACTGCTCAACAATCACAATATACAGTTTTTTGTGGAAGATGTTACACGTATCGGAGCGTAAAACACAACAACATCTAGTACCCCGAGTGCGGGTATCCCACTTGCATTTAAAAA